GGGTTTGATCTGTGAGTTAGCCGTGCCCTGACTTAGATCAGCCCAGAGGTTGTTTTAGTTATAATTTTTGGTTCTTTCTTGTTAATTTTGTCTTTCAATAGAAGTTTTGTGTATGTCGAAAACAAATGATCTGCTCTTTCGCTACAAACGTTTATGGATCGCCTTTTTGGCGTGGATAGCACTTGAGACTGGATAAGCCGAACTAGTCATTTCCTCCCGTTAGATAGAGGAAAGATATTGAAGCATAAGTGAAAATCAACAATCAGCTYCTAACAAACGTCACAGATGCAAGACGACTGTTTGTCTAAGAATAGACGMTTTGCACAAACAGGCCACATGACTCTACCTCCCGTGCAGTGCAACTACTATAACCGGTGCCACCTAGACAGCGAGATTTAACCAATCAAATTCAATCATTTTTTATGACTGTGAAAAACATGTGAAAAACCTCTGCACATGCTCTGAATCCTTATGCAAATTAGTCAAAAACATAAGTAAATTTGACTTTCAAACATGCCTGATAAATTGGACTTCACAAAATGACAAAACTTAGTGTCCATGCTTGAAACTTAAGGCTAATTCTTTCATATTGTGTTTGTTAATACAGTCCCCCTTCAACATTACTAAATACGTACCCCCCACTCCCAAATTCGGTAATTACAAAATTGTACCCCCCAATTTTTACTGGTTTTAAAAAACGTACCCCCCAGTATGTCCCTTGGAGAAAACAAACATTTATTTTCTCACTCAAACTCTTCAAAATTCTTAGAAAACGTGCTGAAATGCACGTATGCGCAAACGTTTTTCTCTAGTGTCCGTAACATCAGTGTTAAATTCCATTTTCATGCATTCTAGGTTTCTGATTGGCTCAACATAGGCTTGGCATTGTTTTTTAATTCATTCTACAATTTGATTGGTTGTCGCTGTCTAGGTGACCCCTGTAATAGTAGTCGCAATGTAAAACTAGAAGTTAAAATGAACAACAGAAATGAAAAGAACAATTCGACATCAGTAAGGAGAGTGGGGTTTCAGCTTATAACCAGCGAAACAGGAGAAATGGCATCAAATGAAAAATTGAATATTTTAGAACGATTTGTATGGGAGAAGGTTCTAGATGGTAAGAGCTTACCAACCAAAACATTTCCCATTCAAATCCTTATAATTCACCTGTTTCCATACATTGGTTTACTGGTCAAACACAAAGCGTTCAAGCGAGGCGCCAAGGTRCTTTCAAAGGATTATTCAAATTTGAACCTTGCAACGTCGACTGAATGCTTTGTGTTTGACCAGTGAACCGATGTATGGAAAATGGTGAATAAAAAAAATATTTGATTTTATATTTAATGTCATATCTCTATTAGTCAACATTTTGAGCTAAAACTTCTCCCTCTTACTAATATCGAGATGCTCTTTTCATTACAGATGTTCATTTTGATACAACTCCTCCTTTACGGGGGTAGAATCACGTGACATGTTAGTGGAACATCTCAGTACAGCTGTCAGGGTGTCTTTTTATATCACTTTACGTTATCCAACGTGAAAGACATCTAAAAACCAATAGAATTTGCTGATAGTTTGCCGGAGCGATATGTCAAAATACCAAAGCTTAAAATCATTTGAAAAATTAACTTTCGCCACTCCATGCTTATATATATACTCCACTATACTCCATGCTATAAATATTTATACATTTGTCCATGGGCATCCCATAATTTGAGATGACTGCCGTAAAAAAAGTCTATCGAGGCAAACACGTCAAAATATATTGAAAACCAGGATCACTTTCAGTTGACTTCTCTTAACTCATTATGATAATGTTTTTCGCCATGCTAGAGGTTTTGGCTAGGCCAGCATGATATGCGTTTTAGTTTGTCTTGAAATTTCTCGCCCACAACGCCGAAATAAACAGGAGTTTCATAAAAATTGTTTAACTGCTGCAAGTCATAATTTCTAGATTCGTCACTTAACAGTCGATGTTTCTGATTGGTCAGATAGATTCGTCACTTAACAGTCGATGTTNTAGATTCGTCACTTAACAGTCGATGTTTCTGATTGGTCAGATAGATTCGTCACTTAACAGTCGATGTTATCATGAGGCTCCGTACGTACGTACGTATGCGGATATTTTTGAAAGCGCAGTTTTTTCTTTGTAGATTGATTTTGAAAACTAAACTATTTTTCAAAAAATACTTCGAAAACGTTACCTGCGTACGCGATTTTTCTCGATAACGGAATCCGTTTTCAAAAATAACCGTTTGATTGTACATGGGTATCAATGATGYACTGTTTAATAAACGAGCAGGAGTGTTTTATCGGGTATAAAGCACGAGGCGCAGCCGAGCGGTTCTAGGCCCGATAAAACACGATTATTAAACGGCTTTAAAAACTCATGATGGATGTTCTCATATTGTACTGAATTCTTTACGAAATGAACCAAGTTTGATAGAGAAAATCCAAGTTAAAGTTTATGTAAATGAAGTCGAATCTATATCAGATATAAAACCTCCTTCATCATGATTAGGAAGCATGCGACCCGGGTTCGAGTCCCGACGAGCTCGGTGTTGTATGCGCGTTGAGTTGTTTCATGGTTCTCTCCTGTGCTTCGAGGGTTTTCCGGGTTCTCCGGCTTTCCTCCCTCCGCAAGGATCAACTTCTAAATTCCTATTGTAATCCAGTGGAAGAAGAGCCACTCTGTGGACTCCACTGTTAATCCCATTATTTATTTWTTATTATTTCTATTGTGTTTCCTTCATGAATTATCRATGAGTTTTTGAAGTAGAGAATATTATACGTTGGCTTGAAGATATGAAGTTTATCTTGTGGTGAAGATATTACACGAGGGAGCGCAGCAAACGAGTGAAATATTTTCCAACACTAGAAGATGAACTTCATATCTTCAAGCTAACTAATTTTCTTTTTATTTAACGTATAATCTTCAAGCCAACGTGTAATTTTCTTTTTTCTTTTCTTTATTTTTTTCTATTTAACGTGGCACAACTACTTCCTAGAATAARGCTGTGTTTTCGAGTCTAGAACATTACAAACATGAATATTCACATGACTTTAGCCATACCTACAATGTGTAACTACAAAGTTCATGAAAGCTATAAATTGATCTTGTCCATAATCCTCAATGTAAATGTAGCTTTAAACCGTTGGTTCGGCCTTAGCACGAACCACTATTTAACCAAAACAACTACATGCTATAAAAAACCTGATTAATTAGGCCACATAGCATTTCGAGAAAGAAAGATAAAACATATCAAAACTGTGGCATAACAATATACTCGAATCATTGCTTTTACCTTTGAACAAAAACAGCACTCCATTAAGTTTGTCTTTTCGTCATTGATGGTGTTGATTTTTTAGGAGACGTGAATGTTCTTGAAGTCCTTGAAAAGTGATGGAGTAGACCTCCTCACCTCGGGTGTAATGCTTTCCCATTTCAGACCACATGTCATTCTCTTGAGAATAAGATTCTTTGTTTGAGTTGTATCTATATTCATGTGTCTTCTTGTCGCCAACTAACTGTTAACTGGAAATAATTGATGATCCAATTATAGAAAACCACAGCATGAAAACGCCGTAAATCTGTTGCCTTAATGTTGTTTATATAATAATGCATTAAATTCATCAATCCGTCCATCCTTTCATCATTCCACCCACCAGCAACTAATCTATCTATCAGCCCTACATTTCATATTCCGGCTGCGTTACCAGCGTCGTTGGTCCTTGTGGTGAAGTGGTATACACTTCGGACTAGAATACGGAAGACGTGAGTTCGATTCCCGCCAAGGGCACTTGACATTTTTCTCTTRTTCTCTATTTCATTACTCACACTGAACGCATATTTTATTACTACTATGCTATATCTATCAATCTGTTTATATGTTAATGGTATTTATTTTTCCCTATAGCACGGTCATTATCAAGTTTAGAAGAGCCAAAAATAGGAAACGAAGACAGCGTACGTAACATCTAAATTATACTGGTCAAAATGGGAAATAAATTCACTGAGTGCGGAATTTTGCCTATTTAGAATATGAATCCAAAGCACGAGAAGGCATTTGTTTCTGTGAGTAAGCCATGCCCTGACTTAGATCAGCTCAGAAGTTGTTTCAGGGTTCAATCTGTGAGTTAGCCATGCCCTGACTTAGATCAGCCCAGAGGTTGTTTCAGGGTTCATTCTGTGAGTTAGCCATGCCCTGACTTAGATCAGCCGAGAGGTTGATTCAGGGTTCGATCTGTGAGTTAGCCATGCCCAGACTTTGATCAGCCCAGAGGTTGTTTCAGGGTTCGATCTGTGATTTAGCCATGCCCTGACTTAGATCAGCCTAGAAGTTGTTCTAGRGTTCTATCTGTGAGTTAGCCGTGGCCTGGCTTAGATCAGCCCAGAGGTTGTTTCAGGGTTCCATTTGTGAGTTAGCCATGCCCTGACTTAGATCAGCCCAGAGGTTGTTTCAGTGTTCATTCTGCGAGTTAGCCATGTCCTGACTTAGATCAGCCCAGAGGTTGTTTCAGTGTTCATTCTGCGAGTTAGCCATGCCCTGACTTAGATCAGCCTAGAAGTTGTTCTAGGGTTCTATCTGTGAATTAGCCGTGGCCTGGCTTAGATCAGCCCAGAGGTTGTTTCAGGGTTCCATTTGTGAGTTAGCCGTGTCCTGACTTAGATCAGCCCAGAGGTTGTTTCAGGGTTTGATCTGTGAGTTAGCCATGTCCTGACTTAGATCAGCCCAGAGATTGTTTCAGAGTATCTATAAAATTGATATTTGATTCAAGATCTTATATAACATTACATTACTCTTTGTTTTATTGATACAGGCACAGTTTAAGACTTTTGCTCCAGCCTATCTGCGAAACTTTCATCAACTTAGGTAAGATCTTTTACAAACTCATTGTCTTTACTGTGATCTATTTTACACAAATACTAACAATACTCCACTTTACGGTTCCGTTCAGAGACTACGAATAATAGTTCTTAGCTGAGGCTATAGTTTTTGCTATGCGCGGCAACTACATAAACCTCGACATGAAACTATTTTTCGTGATCACTGAACGGARCTGTAAAATGAAGTAAAAATGAAGTCAAATTAAGACCCTGTAAGAGTAAGTGAATTTGTTTTCGGCTTTTCTCGATAATTTTTCAATCGAGACATTGAAGGACTTGCTTATCTTCATATCTATACACACTCTATGGTGATTTTTATAATCCCCCACGCACTAACAACAACACAATTGCAGTTTAAGGACTAGTTTCGTCCGTTTATTAGGACCTTTTCTTTTTATTAGGATCTTGAAAAAGTTGTTGTTAGTGCGTGGGGGATTATAAAAATCACCAGAGAGTGTGTATAGATATGAAGAATTTTTTTTCTCGATCTTTTACCCAGAGCTATTAATTCATACTGCGCATGCGCGGCGAAATATTTCGTCGAGCATGCGTAGTACGAAATGAGGGCTCTGGGAACGAGACTGGAAGTAACAGTAATTTTTTGTTCGTTCTAGACATCTACATGAGCTCTGTGGATGGGGAGCAAAAGAAGCTATTACTAGGTTGAGATACGTGGCGTCGGTAAGAAAGTGTTCACCTTGCAAGCATATTAGCCATTCTGAGATTGGGTGAGAAACTGCGTCGAGTTGGTATTGCAGTGCATTGTGGGGAAGTTTAAGGGGACGGAATAGACGCCATCTTGGTAAGATGTCCTACTAAAACAGTCCCACAATGCACTGCAATGCTAACACGACCCAATTTTTTCTCCCCCTGRGAATGGTTAATAGAGGTTTTGCACCATCACGTGATGGCAGCCATGTTACATGGCAGGAACAATACAATCGTTTTACATGAGAAAGAATTCAATTCCCAAGAGCAAAGGGATTTTATTGTTCTGTAATCTAACCACAGGCAGCCCAATCTGTATTATGGGTGTGAACACGTGATGATGCAAAACCCCTWTAGCCGAGGTTCAAAATGTTTTCAAACAATGGTTTTGAAACGTCAATTTGGGAGGTTGGGACGCTAAAAAGGTTTATTTAATTAATAATCTTTTGATTTCTCACAGTATTTCTCACAAGAAGATATCGCCATTGCTGTGGAAAAAACAGAGTCGCATCTTGTCGGTAAGACGTATTAGCATTCCATACTTGATGGGTGGAAAACTGGGTCGAGTTGTATATGATCTATATTAGTCATTATTATTATCATTATTACTGGAAGCCTTACTCACTAGCCAGTATTTGCATTCTCAAATTTATCTTTATATATTTCTAATTTTTCAGATCCTTCGCCCTCTCTTCTTACGCTAGGAAAAAGTGTGGTTCTTAATTTCATGCACGATGTTGACCTAAGGTGAGGGAAATATTCAAGTTCAAGATACTTGATGTCTTTTGTCGTTTCTTATGCTTCTGAAAGTGCTTTTTATTATTTTTGTATTTTATTATTATAAGAGACTGAGGTCTTCCTGTCACATTTATCGATTGATTTCGTTGTCCTTGAATCAACTATGATTATTGTTGTTGTTGCTGCTGCTGTTGTTGCTGTTGTTGTTGCTGCTGCTGTTGTTG